AATCTCCCCACTTACTAACTGAAATTCTAGTCCTACTTTGACAATTGTTGAATTTGTCTTTTTTCTGATTCTATCAAATCATTTCCCATGAATCTAGGATCCAAAAGATTTGCTGCTTTTTAAATATCGCGCACACTAAATTTTCTACGTTTTTCAACAGCCTCAGTTATCAATTTTATATCTTCTTGAGTAATTTCATAGTCACTATTTAATAACACTTCTTTGAAGATGTTGGCAACATAGTTCCATAAACGAGGCATTACAGATGCACAAACAAGATCTCCTTCTGCAGATTTAACTGCGTTTCGAATTGCTGCCAGTAGTTTTTCGCAAATCACACTTATTGATCAAAATGACACAGTGTCATGTAAAGTATCCTTCATAGAATTTATTTTTGCTTTATCATGTGCACTTAAAGCATAAACTCGAACATCCGAAATTGAAATACGCAAAACATCTTGAAGATCATTATTTCTTTTGATCATAGTAAAAGCAGCTGACCATCTTGTAGACATACTTTGTAGGCAAACTAATTTACACTTTTTAAATGTCATTTGATGTTCTAACATCACATGCTTTAGAACTTGCTTCTTTCTAAAGAAACTAGACACTTTCTTGTGTTGAAGGTGGTTAAACTGAACAGACGGAATCTTAAGTATATCTGTTGCTAGAAGCTCCAGTGCATGTGTCCCACACCCATAACAAAAAATTTCTGGGCGTTCATGTTGTACCAACTTCAATGCCTTCGTCATATTTGATGCATGGTCTGATACAAAGGCAATAGGTTTAACATGAGTTTCCTTAATTACAGAGTTAGTGATGTCAAAAATATACTCAGCTGTATTATGATTGCTTTCAGGATGAAATGACTTAAGAAATATCAGTTTTGGTGTGGAAAGAAGGAACTGTATGTGATTATCATTGCAAACATCTGACCATCCATCAGACATCAAAACACACCCTAAAGATTTTTTTATCAGAACTGAATTTTCAGTTTCAATTCGTGAATGCCACAGTTTTAACAAAGGTCCAAGCAGGTGTTAGTTGTCTAAAAAACTCCCTCCATAATGGATTATCGACCATTGAAAATGCAGTTGCAGTTCCATATATGGCTTTTAAAAAAGTTATTTCTAAATCCTCGTGGGTTTTCTGGTCACAAGTATCTATCCAGCGTTTTATATTATGTAAATTGCGAACTGATAATAAAGAAGAACTTGGGAGAGGTTCTGTTGCAGTTGCATTAACTAATGAAGAGCTCTGTACAGATTGACTACTTTCAGAAGGTGTTACAACAGAAAAATCAACTAGATTACAGAAAACTGGAGAACTATTATTGCTAACTATACTACTATTCCCATTGTCAAAATCTTCATCATCTTCATCTTCAGATGAACTAACAGCAATTTCTGCAACCAGTTTAGTGGTAAATGAGCTTTCTTTTATAATAAATTTTTGTTTTACATCATTTGATACATTTTTACAGTTTTTAACTAGGTGCCGTTTCATACGAGTTGCATTGTTTACAAACTGCTTCCCGCAGAGGATACACTCACCCAGCATTTTTTTTTATTTGTAATTTTGCATTTGAAATAGTTCCACACCAATGTTTTTTTTATTATTCACCATTTTTTTTATCTCAAATATAATAAATATATAAAGATCTATGTCTTTTTATACTAAACCTTTATATATATATATATATATATATATATATATATATATATATATATATATATATATATATATATATATATATATATATATATATATATATATATATATATATATATATATATATATATATATATATATATATATATATATATATATATATATATATATATACATATATATATACATTTATATATATATATATATATATATATATGTATACATATATGTATATATATTATATATATATATATATATATACATATATGTATATATATATATATATATATATATATATATATATATATATATATATATATTTATATATATATATATATATATACATATATGTATATATATTATATATATATATATACTATATGGTATGGTATGGATGGTAATGGTACGTTCTTTAATGAATAGTTGAAATAATGATTTTCCATAACTGTAATTAAATAAATGTACTTTCATTCAATACGATATTGACGAGTTTTACTCTTCAATTTCGAAACGACTTCTTTCTCTTTTTTTCTTTCGAAACGACTTCTCTTTCGAAACGACTTCGAAAAAAATAAATGTACTTTCATTCAATACGATATTGACGAGTTTTACCCTTCAATTTCGAAACGACTTCTTCAAGATTCTATAAACCATGCAAAACAGTTCACCAAAATTCCTGATAAATCACTGAAAATTATTTACCACAGCAGGAAATCTTTACTTTTTTCAGGAAATAATATGTGGATTAAAAAGTCGACGGACCCTAATTTCGATGTCATCATGGGTAGTTTTGACGGAGCCGAATTATGCGAACTAGTTGGCCTCTATATCTTATACACTATTGCCAAAGAATATGGTCTTAATACTACCGGTCTATATAGAGATGATGGTCTTTGCTGCTTCTATAATATCAGTGGTCCTCAATCGGAAAAAATAAAGAAAAATCTAATAAAAATTTTTAAAGACAATTTTAATCTTAACATCACTATCAAACCAAATTTAAAAACCGTAAATTTTCTTGATATCACATTCAACCTTTCTGAGAACTCTTTTAAACCTTATAGAAAACCAGGAGATAATCCTTTATATATTAAGATCAATTCAAACCACCCACCAAGCATTATTAAATCGATACCAAAAATGATCTCTAACCGCATCAGTAATATATCTTCAAGCAAAGAAGCTTTTGATAGAGCAGCACCATTTTATAATAATGCCCTCAATTCTTGTGGATTCAAAGATAAGATCAATTTCACTCCAAATATCCAGAAATATAATAAAAAATCTCGAAAAAGAAACATTATCTGGTTTAACCCACCTTATTCACTCAACGTCAGAACAAACGTAGCCAAAACATTTTTGAGTACAATTGATAAATGTTTCCCTAAAGGCCACAAATTTCACAAACTTTTTAATCGAAACAACTTAAAGGTTAGTTATAGCTGCCTTCCAAACATCAAGAGTATTGTTACTTCTCATAATAAAAAGATATTATTTCATTCTCATGAAAATGCCAATCAATTATGCAATTGTCGGCAAACCACCTTATGCCCACTCAATGGAAAATGCCTTACAAAAAATCTTATTTATATTTGCAACGCAAAAACTCACCAAGAAGAAGAAGGATATTATTACGTTGGGCTTACTGAGAAAACTTTCAAAGACAGGTGGTACAAACATAAAAACTCCTTTGTTTATGAAAGTAAGGCCAACTCCACTGAACTTTCGAAATTTGTGTGGGAATGCAAAAATAAAGGTATAGAACCTATTTTAAAATGGAATATCCTCGATCAAGCGGAGCCATTCAAACCTGGTGGTAAATTTTGCAATTTATGCTTGACAGAAAAATACCACATTATTACGTCGCCATTGAATTTGCTTAACAAAAGAACCGAGCTTGCGTCAAAATGCCGCCATGAAAATAAATTTCTAATAAAAAACTTTAATGTCATCAAAGCGGACACTCCATAGCATTTTTTGTATATAATTTTTGTCGTTACTTTTTATTGTTGTTACATCTGATGATCGCTATTGCGTGAAACTTTTAGTTATGTAATTGAAATATATCTTAATAATTATTTAGTTTTCACTATATATATATATATATATATATATATATATATATATATATATATATATATATATATATATATATATATATATATATATATATATATATATATATATATATATATATATATATATATATATATATATATATATATATATATATACATATATAAATATATATATATATATATATATACATATATATATATATAGGTATGTGTATCAAAAATTTTAAATTGATCAAAGGTTAGATTGTTATATATCATTGGAAAGTGCTTCAATACAGTATTTTAAAGGTGAAAAAATTATTAAAATCAGACTATTCTACAAAAAGTTATGACGTTTTTAGTCGCAAATTTTTGATATATGGATTTGTTGAAGAAACTGTGGTCAAAATTTAATTTTTCTTCACTTAAATTGTTATAAATTTTTCAATTCTTATCTAAATACCTATAACTTAGTATCAAAAGATAGGTGTAACTGTGGGCTACAAATTTATAACATCGTCCACCTATTGGGCGTTTCCTGGGGGCTAGAGGGGGTGCCGAACCACCACCTTTACCCTAAAAATAAGCATATTTCTTTCAATAAAAAGTGTTTTTTTTTCAACAAACGGTTATTTTTTTTATACAAAAAATTGCTACAATTTTATTCCAGACCATCAATGATTGATGTTTATTAAAGTTGGTGATGGATATGGTGGTGATGGTTTAACACACCCTAATTTCAAAAATATTCAATTCTCTAATTATAAATAAATAAATATTTCTATATTTAATAAAATAAGTGAAACTAGTACACAGTATAAAAAACATGAAATTTTTTTTTGTTACAAGAATTTCATTTATTGGTGGTGTGTTTATTGACTTGTGGGAGGAGCGTGTGCCCCCCCCCCCCTTAACCTAAAAAAATAAATAAGTAAAATAAATCAATCTTTATAATAACAATTATAATTATTTTAAAATGAGTTAACAATTTAAAACCTGAATTAGGCTTTTGACACCAATTATAACCTACAAGATAAAGATAAAGACCACAACCGAGCCTAGTTTTGAAAAAAAAGTCTTTTCGCTGCTATTTGTAAATTTATGTTAAGTTAAGAAGTTTGTTGATTAGGGTAGTAATGGTTACCCACAACCTACAATAAAAAGATGTTGAATTTATAAAAATAATTGTATCTTTAACAAACAAAACAAATTAGTATATTTCATTTTTTGATATTTCATTAAATATATTTTATTTCATTACCAAAAATATCA